CAAGACGATGGCAATGGGTATAGACCCGTAGAGTTCATGTCCGCTAGAATGCCTTCAGAGAAGGTCGCGACATCTACCTATGAGAGGGAACTCTACGCTCTCAGGCAAGCGTTAGACCACTGGAAGCACTACTTGCTTGGGAGGCACTTCAAAGTCTATTCTGACCATGAAACGTTACGATGGTTAAAGACGCAGGCCAAGATGACACCTAAGCTTACTAGGTGGGCCGCCGAGATAGATCAGTACGACTTCGAGCTCAAGCCTGTCACGGGGAAGTACAACGTAGTTGCGGATGCTCTGAGTAGGAGGGCAGATTACTTCGGGGCAATAGTACATTACCTCGATATAGGAAAGGATCTGCGGCAGCAGGTTAGAGAAGCCTACGCGCAGGACCCTATCTATGGTGAGCTCCTTAAGAAAGTCAAGGAGGCCCCAGAGACTGAGCCGAATTACCGCACTACTGAAGGATTGCTATTTGAGAAGACTAATGTCTTTGACCGGTTGTGCATCCCCAATAGCGAAAAGATCCGTAGTCTGATCTTGGGAGAATGCCACGACACAGAGGGTCATTTTGGTTGGCAAAAGACCTTAGCCAATCTGATGCGCGCGTATACCTGGCCAGGGATGAAGAATGACAGCGTAGAGTATGTTCGCAGTTGTAAGGTCTGCCAGCGTAAAAAGTCTTCTACGCGTGCCCCGTTAGGTCTTCTCAGACCCTTGCCCATTCCGGATCARCCGGGAGACTCAGTGTCAATACATTTCATGGACACTCAAGTCAAGGGCAGGCATGGCAAGAGCCAAGTCATGGTCATAGTTGACCGCTTTAGCAAGTACGCAGTTTTTGTTCCTTTGCCTTCTGAGGCGCGTACTGATTTAGTCATACAGAGGTTCTTTGACTGTTGGGTTAGTGAGAATGGAATCCCGCTGTCTATAGTTATCGATAAAGATAGTCGCTTTACCAGCCAGAACTGGCAAGAACTCATGGGAGTATACGGATCTAAGTTGTTGATGTCGTCTGGCCGCCATCCAGAGACTAACGGCCAGACAGAGCAAATGAACAAGATCCTGCAGCAAGTTCTGCGCATGTATATTAGGCCAGATCAGATTAACTGGGATGAGATGTTGCCTAAAGTAGCKAGTGCATACAATAACAGCGTGCATCTAGCCACCTGCCGCACTCCCAAVGAACTGCACAAGTCCTTTAGACCGCGCAGACCGTTTGAGGGACTCAACCGGGATCAGATTCAGAGATTGCCGCCCGGGACCCGGGAGTTCGCTGTACAGCACGAGAAAGAACTAGCTACTGTTGTAGAAAACCTCAGAAAAGCCCAGCATTGGATGATAAAACAAGCAAACAAACATCGTCGCCCTTCACAGTTTCAAGTAGGCGACTTAGTCTGGGTTAGTTCGAAAGAGTTTGCACCTGAGGAGAACATCTCGCAGAAGTTGCTGCCCACATATAGAGGACCGTGGCATGTTCTGGAAGTCAGGGGCGGCGAAGATGGTCCGTCCTACACCATAGAGTTACCAGCACACCTCCACACTTATCCAGTTTTCCACGCAT